GTTACTGTCCCAAATGCAACGTGCCTACATCATCCAGAAGTGACGTAGGCATGTCAGTGACGCCCCCCCGACACTCTGGTTTTTGGGCAAAACTCTATGGTAGAATTAGCTTCAAACCATAGAGTTTTGCCCAAAAATCAGCATCGCCACCAATGTGCTTGCTTCTTCCCTCCCCTCTCCCGGAGCGTCCCAGCAAGTCCCCCGCCGGCTTATCATTCGGGCCTGGCAACCCCTATCAGATCGCCTGGAGACAATGGCAACTTTGGAAGATGGGCTCTGTGGCATTATACCCCACAGAGGCCCCTTCCCCCCTCAAACCCTGCCTTTTCCAGGCTCTACCTATTGGGTGTAGTAAATAGGAAGCAGGAGACCGACTGGTGATGAAGGTGCATAGAAAGTTTATATAGATATAATGGTGACTATATACACAGAGATATGCATACCATGCCTTCACTTGAGAGACTACATCCCCACCTAGCTTATCAAGCTTATAGCCTATATACTAAACCCAGCCAATCACTAAGAAGGTGAATTAATTACCTACTCTAACAATGCCTGATAGAGAACACCTGCTAGTTTAACACCTGGCTGTAATCATTTAATCACTAGCATGACAGCTAGGACTGTCAAACAGATCAAACTGATCTAGTAACTGCTTGCTACCTCTAGCACCTAGACATATATCTCAATACTACCCCCAAATCTCCAGGAGTTTCCTAACCCAGAGCTGGCAACCTTGGTTGGGGACCTTTGACCTGAATTGTGCCACATGTAAGTTTTGGCCCTAAGTTCTCTGACTCTAAGGAGGTGGTCGTGTCTAGCTTGCATCAGAGACAAAATCTACTTGTTTGAGGATACAGGAAGTAGCAGCTACAACGCGAAAGCCTGCCAAGGGTCACCTACTCTGGCTGTGGAAATTCCTGGAGGTTTGGAGGCGGCGCCCGCTCAGCGGGGGTATGACCCCATAAAGTCTGCCCTCCAAAGTGGCCATTTCCCGCCAGGGCAACTGATCTCTGTCAGCTGGAGATGTCGGAATTCAGGAAGGACATGATGCCCCACCTGGAGATTGACAACCCTAGTTGGGGCCTCCATACTTGAAGGACAGTTTCAGCTTGCGGGACAATTATGCCCCTTCCAGTAATTTTGTTGGAGATCCACTGTTGTAGGCCAAGGTTCAGTCATGGACTTTCCCTGTACTGGTCCTAAATGACAAAATAGTGGGGTTGCCAACTCGGTAGGGGACTTCCTGGAGATTTGGGGGGTGGAGCCTGGGGAAGGTGGGGTTTGAGGAGGGGAGGGAGCTCAGCAGGGTAGAATGCGACAGAATCCACCCTCTAAAGCAGCCATTTTCTTCAGGTGAAATTATCTCTGTCCTCTGGATATCAGTTGTAATGCCAGGAGAACATGGAGGTTGGCAGTCCCTTAGAACAGCCTCCCACTGGCTGTGGAGAAGGCTAAAATGGCTGTTGATTTTTAGAAGAGTCTACACTGTGGTGCTTTTATAGGGTTTCCAGCCTCCAGGTGGTGACTGGAGATCTCCTGCTGTCACAACCAATCTCCAGGTGACAGCTTGTCCATTTTTCAGAGACCATTTTTAACATATGGCAGCGCTTAACCATTATCATCATCCCTGATCCAGCACTTGGATGAATCATATTCCCCCTTTTATGTTATGGCTCACCCTTATGAGAGCATTTCTAGAAATACTTCCAGAGGACAAGAGCAAGAGTCCAGTAGCATCGTAAAGACTAACAAAATTTGTAGCAGGGTAGGAGCTTTCATAGGAGCTGCGGTGGCTCAAGTGGTTAAGACGCTGAACTGCAGGCTGTGGAAGGTCAGTAGTTCAGCAGTTCGAGACCCGGGTGCCGCATGACGGAGTGAGCTCCCGTCTCTAGTTCCAGCTCCTGCCAACCTAGCAGTTGGAAAGCTAGAAATTGCAAGTAGATAAATAGGTACCATTTCGGTGGGAAGGTAACAGCGTTCCGTGCGCCTTGGTGTTTAGTCATGCCGGCCACATGACCACGGAAACGTCTTCGGACAGCGCTGGCTCTTCGGCTTTGAAATGGAGATGAGCACTGCAACCGGATTTGACTGGCTTTCGAGCAAGGGAACCTTTACCTTTTAGGAGCTTTCATGAGTCACTGCTGAAGATACTGAAAAAGTGAGCAGTGGCTCACAAAAGCTCATCCCATGCCGCAAATTTCGTTAGTCTTTAAGGTGCTCCTGGATTCTCGCTCCTTTCTTCTACTACAGACAGACTAACGTGGCTAGCCATCTTGTTTTATTTCCAGCAGACACAAAATTCATATTTCTTGATTTGATTTATCCCGCTCTCCCTGTGTCCAGGCTCAGAGTGGGTAACATCATATTATAAACTAGTAGTATAATTAAAAGATGACGTAAAACTCAGTGGGGTGCCTAATCTGTTTGGCCCAAAAGGGGAGGGCCAATTGAATCTGGAACCCGTGCTGTCCTCAACCACAGGCCTGGTGGAAGGAGATGAGCAGATGAGCACTGCAACCGGATTCGACTGGCTTTCGAGCAAGGGAACCTTTACCTTTTAGGAGCTTTCATGAGTCACTGCTGAAGATACTGAAAAAGTGAGCAGTGGCTCACAAAAGCTCATCCCATGCCGCAAATTTCGTTAGTCTTTAATGTGCTCCTGGATTCTCGCTCCTTTCTTCTACTACAGACAAACTAACGTGGCTAGCCATCTTGTTTTATTTCCAGCAGACACAAAATTCATATTTCTTGATTTGATTTATCCCGCTCTCCCTGTGTCCAGGCTCAGAGTGGGTAACATCATATTATAAACTAGTAGTATAATTAAAAGATGACGTAAAACTCAGTGGGGTGCCTAATCTGTTTGGCCCAAAAGGGGAGGGCCAATTGAATCTGGAACCCGTGCTGTCCTCAACCACAGGCCTGGTGGAACAACTGTGTTTTACAGGCCCTGCAGAACTGCATGATCTCCACACACATGCACACAGAATGCAAGATTCCCATGCAAACCACTTGGCCTGTCATCACACAGGCTAATATCTAGATGCTGCTTCATAGTTAGCTCTGCTTGAACACCAGAATAACATCAGAGCCGGTTGTTGCACCAAAACACAGGAATCTTCTGTCCAGATTGAGCAAGAAGGACCCATAGATCTGTCAGATATTTTGGACGGGCGTATAAGTTAGTAACTGCTGTTTGTACAGCTGCTAGCAAAAGACTTCATCTAGTTTATGTTCAGATGTCCCTTGCGATTAGTTTATGTCCCTTGTTGCTTTGGCCCACCTCTACTTTCCAGCTATTTTATTTTTTTTTACATTGTGAATGGATTCAGGGACTACCTTATACCAGGGCTCTAGTCGGGGGGGAGCTCTCAGGTACGGAGCTCCGGAAGAGAACCTCTAGGGGGTGGGGCGGTCACGTGGTGAAGCCCCGCCCCCTTCTTTACCCCGCCCTCTGCTTCGATCCTCATTCCGTTTGGGAATGAGGATGAAGCAGGAGGGTAAGTAGCCGGGCCTTCTGACACACTTCCGGTGATGTCAGGGGGTGTGGCCTTCTGTCACTTCCGGTGATGTCAGGGGCGTGGCATATGCAAATAAGTTATGCTAATGAGTTATGCTAATGAGTTCCGGCAGCTCTTTTTCTACAACAAGACCCCTGCCTTATACCATGTTAGTCCATCGATCCATCAAGGTCAGTACTGTCTACTCAGACTGGCGGTGACACTCCAGGGTCTCAGGTGAAAGTCTTCTGCATCACCTCTGAGCTGATCCTTAACTGGAGATGCCGGGGATTGACCCTGGGACCTTCTGCATGCCAAGCAGATGCTCTACCACTGAGCTATATCCCCTCTGTCTAGGCAGTTCAGGCCCTAGTTCACCTTATATTCGACTGCCCTTGCATAGCTTTTCAGCCAGGTGCCCGCCTTAAGTAAGTTCCTCCAAGCACTTGCATAGAAGCATGAGCTCCAGCCCTGACAGACGTTTCCACTGAAGTCACCAATGGTCAGTATTCATGACAATGCACTCCCTTGCCTACAGGTGATGCACTGGGATGGATCGATGTTCCGAGATGTTCAGCACATGCCATCTCGTGGATCCATGGTTTTCCAGCCCTTGACCATCGCCGGCTACCGCTATGCCTTTCTTGGCAACGACTACTCCTTCAGCCAAGTCTACCGCTACGAACCTGTCACGGGACTCTTCCAGCACTTCCAGGAGCTGAACACCCAGGCACCGCGCTCCTTTGCCCACGTCCATGTCGACAAGCAAGATTTCCTCATCGCTTCCAGCTTCAAGGGCAAAACCCACATCTACCGGCATGTCATCATCGATCTGAGTGCCTGAGCCTGTCCGCAGCGGGGTTCAGGGGTGTCGAATCAGGAGGCAGCCGCCAAAGGAAGTGGTGGCAGCCGCTGGGGGGAAGTACAGTACCCAAGACGGCCACTAGGGTGACCGCACTGGAAGCAGAGGCTGTTGAGAGTGCGATTCCCCAGTGGTGCGAGGAAAAGAGGGTGCTAAGGAACAACTGGCCGACAGGTGGAAGACGGGCAACTGATGATCGCTAGAAAATGCAGCAAACGGCAACCAGATCAGTCACCAGAATACCATTCTCTCTCTCTCTCTTTAAAAAGTCAGTATGCATGAAGCCTTACTGGTTGCCAGGTGGAAGAGGCCTGCATGCGTAACCAAATATCTTGACAAAGAGGGTGTGCAGATTTGGAGAGGCATCACTTTACCGGCAATCCTGCCCGATCTTGCTTGCCAACCTGTCGTTCTTGCTTTGTCATTTCAGAGGATTCTTTCCCTTTTTTTAAAAAAAACCCCCTCATCTCTCCCCCTGAGTTGAATGAATCAGAGTATTGGCTTGCGTTTCCCATCCCACCTGCTTGCATCCGTTTCTTTTCCCCGTTAACAGATGCCGTGAGCCGCTGAAAGCCTGCTTCATTTCACCACTTCCCTTGTTTTTACCGCAGAATTATCTTCTTCCAAAACCGGATTGCTTTCCCCCCATAAATTCATTGCAAAGGGGCATAAATCCAGCCAAACCTAAGTGACTGTGATAATGGCAAAATCTCAATCACTGGGCACGAGATAGGCAGCCTGATCCAATGCATGTTTACACAGAAGTAAATCCTGCCTGGGCAGAACAGGGCTTTCACCCAAAGTCGGCGTGCTCAGGCCTGCCGCTTTGATTGCAAACTAACTTTTGCTGGAATGCATCCAATGCCTTTTAATTCCCGTTTTACTATTTTTTTTTTTTTTTAAACAATTTCAGGCACTGCACAGTGTCGGATACTAAAGCACAAGCTTAGCATTAAGCACAGAAGGAACCCCCCTCTTAATCCTTAGGGGAAAAGAAATGCTGGGGGAACAGGGTAGACTGGACTCATTGATGCGATGGGTGGGTAGAAGAGAATGTGGGATAGAAGCTCCCCCAGGAGGGGGGCTGGGAGCCCAACGGAGTGGTGCACAAAACCGCCATTATCCTTTGCCTATAAATATCCAGCATGTTTATTCAAACACAATCAACCAACCTCCTTCCAGTAGCGGGCAGCTACAAAGAATACATGCCAATGTATTTATTTCCCAGTGATATGGAGCTGGAATAGTTTGGGCTGGGAATACACAAGATTGTCTCCTGCCAAAGAGGGCCTGATATGCTCTTCTGTCTCATTCATGAACTGGGATCCCACGTACAAGCATTGTAAATAATAAAAAAAAATAGTATATTGTTTGTGAGCCCAGTTGTAGCATCGTTTGCTCTGTTTAATCTCCCTCATGCATGCAGCTGAAGTAGGCTTGCCATCAAGGAGTTGGAAGGGAGAAAAGGACAGGAGGAAGGGTCTCTATAGTGCCACTGTAGGAATTTCCCAATGTCTCTATGGTCTTTACCAGGGCTATTTTTGGGCAGGAGCGCACAGGAACGGAGTTCCGGCTGGCTCCCAAGCTGGCCACGCCCAGCAGGAACTCATTAGCATAATAGGCCACACCCAACAGCAGGAACTCATTAGGATTGGTTACATTAGGGGTGTGTGGCTTAACATGCAAAGGAGTTCCTGCTACAAAAAAAGCCCAGGGTTTTGACAACAGACAAGGTAAACAGAATAAGAAGCAAAAGGTGGGTGTGGCTGGATGACCACACTTCTGGTAACATGGGGATGCGGCCTAATGTGCTAATGAGCTGTGCTGTCAGGGTTGTGGCCTAATATGCTAATGAGTTTCTGCTGTTGGGTGTGGCCTATTATGCTAATGAGTTCCTGCTGGGCTTTTTCTACAAAAAGAGCCCTGGTCTTTACCATAGAGATCAGGGGATATTCCTACAGCGTCACCTGGAAGTGACATCACATCCTCCCCAAACGCCGCCCTCATAGGTTTGGAAAATACCTAGAGACTTTGGGAGTGGAGCCAGGAGAGGGCGGGGTTTGGGGAGGGGAGGGGCCTCAGCCTGGTACAGTGCCATAGAGTCGCCCCTTCAAAGCAGCCATTTTCTCCAGGGGAGCCGATCTCTGTCAGCTGGAGATCAGTGGTAAAAGCGGGAGATCCCCAGGCCCTACCTGGAGGCTGGTAACCCTACGCCCTCAGAATCTCCCAGCATTTACTGAGGCAGTGCTGGTAATCCTAGCCTAAACCCAGGCACACTGGGCAAATGGCACAGATATGGGGAATAAGTGGTGTTGACTCTGGGTTGGGAAATACCTGGAGATCTGGGACTGAAGCCTGGGAACAGCAGGATTTGGGGAGGGGCCTCAGTGGGATATACTGCCACAGAGGTCACCTTCCAAAGCAGCCATTTTCTCCCAGGTAACTCATTTCTGTAGTGTGGAGACAAGTTGTAATTCCTGGAGACTTGGAAGTGGAATTTGGGGGTGGAAGGGTAGGGAGCAGTCCTTGGGGAGATCCATAGTGTCTACTGGAGAAAATGGCTGCTTTGGAAGGGGGACTGTATGGCAGTATACCCTGCAGAGGCCCTTCCCCTCCCCAAACCCCACCCTAAACCCCTCAAATCTCCAGGTTATTTCCAACCCAGAGCTGGCAACCCTAAATCGCTGTTGCCTGGAGATCAATTGTAATTGAGGGATCTCCAGCTGCCACCTGGAGGTTGGCGACTCTATGTGAAACAGAAGGGCTGCCCTACTGGATCTGACCAATGGTCCATCTAGTCCAGCATCCTGTTTCACACAGTGGTCAACCGGTCACCCTGGAGGGCCAACCACCAGGGCACAGAAGCTAACCTGAGGTTGCTTCCTAGGATTGGTAGCTTGATATTCAGGGCCCAGGTATCTTGGCACAAAACAATCACCACCAATACACCTTGAAAACTTTCTGCACCAGTTCAACTGTCATGGCTGCCCTCTCAGAATCTGGGTATTTGATGAGGGTGCTCAGAATTCTGGGACAGAAGGTTCTAGCCCTCCGATGGTGAGATTCCTGGAGATTTGGCGCTGGCGATGGCTATGAAACCAGTCTGAGATTGTACGGTAACTATGCCCTTCAGTGCAGTAGTTTACTTATATTTCCATTTATGTGCACAAACTGCTCCATACATCAACCACCCAGGAAGGAAGATCAGTGCTTACTGCCAGGGCTATTTTTGGGCAGGAACGCACAGGAATGGAGTTCCGGCTGGCTCCTGAGTTGGCCACGCCCAGCAGGAACTCATTAGCATAATAGGCCACACCCAACAGCAGAAACTCATTAGGATTGGCTACATTAGGGGTGTGTGGCCTAACATGCAAAGGAGTTCCTGCTACAAAAAAAGCCTTGGGTTTTCACAACAAACAAGGCAAACAGAATAAGAAGGGAAAGAAGGGATTACCACACTTCTGGTAACACGGGGGTGTGGCCTAATATGTTAATGAGTTTTGCTGTTGGGTGTGGCCTATTATGCTAATGGGTTCCTGCTGGGCTTTTTCTACAAAAAGAGCCCTGCTTACTGCTATCATGACAGGGTTGCCAAATCCAAGCTGGGAAAGTCCTGGAGATTTGGGGGTGAAGCCTGGGGAGTGTGGGGTTTGGAGAAGGACCTCATTGCGGTACAATGACATAGAATTTGCCCTTCAAAGCAGCCATTTTCTCCAGGGGAGCTGATCTCTCTAAAATAGAATCAGTTACAATTCTGGGAACTGGTCTGTGTACTCTGGAGATCAGTTCTAATTCTAGGAGCTCTCCAGGCACCACCTGGAGGTTGGCAACCCTTGCCACCAATGGGGGGCCTGGATTGCTGAAGTCGAGGTAGCTTGGTGACATTCATAGCCAAGACTTTTCAGCTTAAACCACTACACTAGCTTGCTAAAGCTTCCTGCTTAGGAGGTCAACAAAGGCCAAATGCAAACAAGTCCCAAGGCCGGACTCCTTCCTGTTCTTGGGCAGCAGGGAGGGACTCCTTTTATAGTTCTAGGAAGGCACTAGGAACAAGGCCTACCCTATCAAACAGACGTTTATTTCAGGCAGCAGGGGTCAGAAAGGGCACTCCCTTCCCAAGTTCAGTCTCTGCTGCTGTATGTATGAATTTTAAGTGAGCTGTGATGCAGGGAGGCACATTTTTTTTTGCTTTCCCCTTCAGTTCAGGCCCTCCCCTCGCAAATGGCTGGGACTGGCTCAGAGGGCAGTTCACAGCACGGCCCTACAAAATTTGACAAGTTTGGCATCCTTCAAAGGGATATTTGTCAACCGAGACAACAGATGCCAGGACTGTGGCCCTTAAAAAGCATGGGGTAGGCCTCTCCAAGCCAGCACGAATGGTTGCTAGGCAACACAGAAATTCATCTCTAATGCTTTCCCAGCCCAAAGCTGAGGCCTGGTTGAAGCATGACACTGGCGTGTAAGGTTCCATTTAGGGTTGCCAGGTCTTACTGTTGTTGCGGCAGGGGGGGTCCCGGCAAGTGTTCCCTCTAAGCTGAGTTAGTGTGAGTTAGCTCACAGTTTTTTAGCCTCCGGCTCACATATTTTTGTCTCCGCTCAGGAAGGATGGCTCCAGAGCAAACTAATTTATGCAGTAGCCAAATCGCTCGCTCACAACATTAATGCCAGTAGCTCACAAAGTAGAATTTTTGCTCACAAGCCTCCACACCTTAGAGGGAACATTGGTCCCGGCCCCGGCCCCTCTGGGACATCTGTGGCGCGTGCGCTTTGCGATGAGGTCACCCAGAAGTGACGTCATTGCACTGGGCACATGGGGGGGCAGAGCCACTATCATTTGAGGGGAAAACATTCTGTTGGTCAAAACAAAAGTTTTCCCTCGAATGATAGAGCGCCCCTTCCCTGCAATATAGCCAGTGCGATGACATCACCTCTGGGAGACGTCATTGAGCTGTGCACATCGCCATGATCCCGGCACTTTGGGGATGGGGTTTTACCCGGCGGCCAGATCCAAACTGGCAGGTAAGGGGCCCGTTGAGTGGGCAAACCCCTGCCCCCAGGGGACCTGGCAACCTTAGTTCCATCCTATTAGGGTTGGCAGCTCTGGGTAGAGAAATACCTGGAGATTTGGGGGGATGGAGACTGGGGAAGGCAGGGTTTGGGGAGGCAAGGGACTTCAGTGGGGTATAATGCTATGGAGTTTGCCTTCCACAGCGGCCATTTTCTCCAGGTGAACGGATCTCTGTCTCCTGGAGATCAGTTGTAATAGTGGGAGATCTCCAGCTATACCACCTGGAGGTTGGCAACCCTAGCCTGAGAAAAGTGGGGTGTGGGGAAGGGAGGGACCTCAGCAGGGCATGATGCCATAGAGTACATCCTCCAAGGCAGCCATTTTCTTTTGATTGTCTGGAGATCAATTGTAACAGCAACCTGGATACTGGCAGCCCTACATCCCATGGGATCTTTCCTGTGCCCCACCCCTTGTTCAAACTGCCTTTGCAGTCATCTTTTGTCCAATGCCACTGAACAAAAGCCTGTGGGGTAGGGATGCCAACCTCCAGGTGGCACCTGGAGATCTCCTGCTATTACAACTGATCCCCCCAGATGTCAAAGGTCAGTTCCCCTGGAGAAAATGGCTGCTTTGGAGGGTGGCCTGTATGGCATTGTGCTCTGCTGAGGTCCCTCCCTTCCTCAAACCCCGCCCTCCCCAGGCTCCATCTTCAAAATCTCCAAGGACTTCCCAACCCAGAGGTGGTAACCAAGGTTCTCTATTCTTCTCGCCTGCCAGTGCCACAGTTAAATCAATGTATGTTTTACATGCAGTCTCTGTGGCTATGTCTACAGATGTTCATGAACAATTCTGGGAACCAGTATCCTGCCCTATTCATTTCCGCATAAAATTTTCACAGATTTAAGAGAATGATTTCTTCCTCCCTTGCTTATCTTGCCCTCATGACAGAGTTATCACACCCATTTATATGTAACCAACTTAGGGTTATCAGCTCTGGCCAACAGAATATCTGGAAATCTTGGGCAGTGCCTGTGGAAAGGGGTTCATGAACAATTCTGGGAACCAGTATCCTGTCCTATTCATTTCCGCAGAAAATTTTCACAGATTTAAAAGAATGATTTCTTTCTCCCTTGCTTATCTTGCCCTCACGACAGAGTTATCTCACCAGTTTGTATGTAACCAACTTAGGGTTACCAGCTCTGGCCCACAGAATATCTGCAAATCTTGGGCAGTGCCTGTGGAAAGGGGATTTGAGGAAAGAAGTTCACCTAGACTCTATGGCATACCATAGAGCTTCCTCTCTGAAGCTGCCATTTCCTCTAGGGGAACTGATGGCTATGGTCTAGAAATCAGTTGTCATACCAGGAGTACTCCAGGCCTCATTTGGAGGTTGGCAACTCTAACCTTACTACTCATGGCAGTTTGGTGTAGTGGTTAAGTGCGCGGACTCTAATCTGGGAGAACCGATTTCCCACTCCTCCACTTGCACCTGCTGATGTGACCTTGGGTCAGTCACAAGCTCTGGCACAGCTGTCCTTGAAAAAGAGCAGTTTGTGTCACTCAGCCCCACCCACCTCACAGGGTGTCTGTTGTGGGGAGGGGAAGGGAGAGGAGTTTGTAAGCCGCTCTGAGACTCCAAGTGAAGGGCGGGGTATAAATCCAAACTCTTCTTCTTCTTCTTCTTCATCATACCCAGTGGACCCTACAAGAGAAAAGAAATCCAAACAGGACTGCCCAACTCCGGGTTGGGAAATTCCTGGACCATTTGGAGTAGAACCTGGGGAGGGCAGAGTTTGGGGAGGGGAGAGCCTTCAGTGGGGTATAGAGCCCCACCCTCCAAACCTGCCATTTTCTATGAGAGAATTGATCTCAATAGTCTGAAGACCATAAGTAATCCTGGGAGATCACCAGGCTCCACCTGGAGGCTGGCAACCCCAAAATCCAAATGTAATTCCACCCAGCACAGCCGAGCAAGACAATTCCTTTCAGAAAAGCAGCAGCTTTTATTATATACATATAAAAAAAATTGGACATGGATGCGAGAGCCCAGAAGAACATCAAAAGGACCAGCCTGTCGCTGCCAGTTCAAGGAGCCATTTCAAGGAGACGGACAAGAGGCAGAATTAGTTTCTTGGGGGAAGTGGCCATTTTCTTGACTCAGCACTCTGTATCTAGAGGGGAAGAGGGAAACACCAAACATAGCACATTAGAGACATGAGAAGCCCTATACTTGAGATAGGTAAGACACCCCTGAAAAATTTCACTGGTCTCATCAATATTCTTATGGCTTATCTTGAAATTCCTCAGAAAGTTTGGCTGAGATGGGCTCTTTTTGTAGCAGGAACTCCTTTGCATATCAGGCCACACACCCCCTAATGTAGCCAATCCTCCAAGAGCTTACAGAGCTCTTCTTACAGGAGCTACTGTAAGCTCTTGGAGGATTGGCTACATTAGGGGTGTGTCGCTTAATATGCAAATGAGTACCCGCTACAAAAAGAGCCCGAAAGACTACCAAACTTGGGGTTAAACCCCAAACATGAACGAGATACAATAAGTGTAATTAGCATTATTCGAGCTTGCCCTTGAAATACCAGAGATGTCACAAATTCATGCCGGAATTTTCAGGCAAAAGGTTTTCGGTATTTCTAGCAAACCTACAGGTGGGGCACGTACCACTGCCAGGAAGTACTCAGCAGCCACCACCAGAGGGCAAGGTTGCAAGGGTACCTTGTCTATCAAATAGTAACAATGAAGTGCTATCAAATCACAGCTGATTTATAGTGACCTCCATAGGTTTTCAAGGAGAGACGAACAGAGGAGGTATACCATCTCCTGTCACTGCATCACGACCCTGGTATTTCTTGGAGGTCTCTCATCCTGGTACTCACCATGACCAACCCTGCTTAGCTTCCAAACTCGGATGAGTTCAGGCTAGTCTGAGCTACTCAAAACAAATAATTAAGTTCAGAATCCTTTTCAAGCTGGTGTTTTGGGCTCCTTTGCAAGGCAGTGCCGGAATCAAAAGCTGGGGGATGTTTCAAGCCTAGGGAATGTTAGGTGTCCTCTCCGCAGCAAAATACAGGATTAGATCCAATCAGCTTTTTCAGTTAATCTCACCAAATTCTCCTCCTTCCTACGGACCCCACCCAATGTGGTGTTTGTAGATACAGGTCCTGTGACCCCCAGCATAGCATTTTGGAGTGGTTCAAAGGAGATCTTTCCTCTGTCGTTCAGCAGCAGAAAAACTGATTGGATCCAAACCACGCCAATGTTCCCTCTAAGCTGTGGAGTCCTGTGAGCAGAAATTCTACTTTGTGGGCTCCTGGCATTCAAGTTGTGAGCGAGCAATTTGGCTGCTGCATAAATTAGTCTGCTCTGGAGCCCTCCTTCCTGAGCTAAGACAGAAATGTGTGAGCTGGAGGCTAAAAGACTGTGAGCTGGAGGCTAAAAGACTGTGAGCTGGCTCATACCAACTCAGCTTAGAGGGGAAACTGCATGTGGCTCAGAGTTTGCATTTGTAGCATTGGATCTCTCCCTGACCGGGATGGTCCAACCTAGCCCGGCCTTGTTCATCTCCAAAGCCAAGCAGGATCAGCCCTGGTTAGTATTTGGATGGGAGAACATTAAGGAAGTTTAGGTTTGCCAGACGGAGGCAGGCAATGGCAGAACACCTCTGCTCGTCTCCTGCCTTGAACACCCTACAGGCATCACCATAAGTCAGCTGCCACTTGACAGGTCTTTCCATCACTTCTGTCGGAGCTCAGATGACCTAGCCCAAACTTCTAAGAGATGGGGGTACAACTCCCACCCCATGACAAGAGACCAGTGGGTTCCAGAGTCAGGTAGACATGCCATACCCAAGGAGTCACTTACCTGAAAGGTTAGTCTTTACAGGAACCAAGGCCTGGACACTAGACAAGAAAAGAGGATCGGTTACAGAGGATGAAATCGTTACCTGCCCCAGTTCTCTTCCTCCCAATTTTGGCTCAGCTTCAGGCTTTGCCTTGGCCGTTCCACATTCTTTCCATTCTTCCACCTGGGGTACCTACTAGCTGCCACCCCCACTAGCCTCTACCCAGGATTCTCCTCCTACCTGGTTTTCTTTTTGCATTTGCATTTTCCACCTGGAAGAGGAAAAAAATAAAATCAACAAAAGGATCAGACAAATTCAGAGAAGACCTCACCCACAGCTGCTAAACTGGATGAGCATTGTACAAACACTGCACAGCAACAAAACCCGGGCTGAAGTCCAGGTGGATCAGAAAGCACTTGCAAAATATATTCAGCTTAGAATTTGCATCTGGACTGGTGGAGCTCATTGGTCTGTGACCCCAGAGAGTTCCTACCAAGACCACTAGGAGCAGATGGACCACCAGAGAGGAGTCATGGCTCAATGGTAGAGCATCTGCTTGGCATGCAGAAGGTCCCAGGTTCAATCCCTGCCATCTTCAGCTTGAAGGATGAAATAATAGGTGATGTGATAGACCTCTGCCTGAGACCCTGGAGAGCCACTGCCAGTCTGAGTAGACAATACTAACCTTGATGGACCAGCAGTCTGGATTCAGTATAAGGCAGATCCATGTATCCACAATGGTCCTTGCAAGGGCACTTCATATGAACAGACACACATGAAGCTGCCTTATACGGAATCCAGACCCAGATCAAAGTCTATATCACCTATTCAGACTGGCAGTGGCTCTCCAGAGTCTCAGGCAGAGGTCTTTCCCATCACCTGGTCCTTCTAACTGGAGATACAGGGGATTGAACCCAGGACCTTCTACCTGGTCCACAGAAGGGACCTTCGTATCAACTTATCCATTGAGTCGTCCTATTGAGCAGTGTGTGGACTAGACTGACAAACCAGCAAAGGCCCTTTTTAAAACCTGGATCGCCCTACGTCTGAACTTACTGAATGTTCCTCTGCAGAATTCCCACCAATTCCAAAGAGAAAATTGGTATCTTAATGAGGCTCAGCCAGGGCCCTTCACAGTTTCATTCCCTACATAGTGCAGATTTCTATATTTCGTGTAGTGGTTAAGTGCCCCGACTCTAATCTGGGAGAACCGGGTTTGATTCCCCACTCCTCCACTTGCACCTGGCTGGATGACCTTGGGCAAGCCATAGTTCTGATAAGAGCTGTTCTTGAAAAAGAGCAGTTTCTGTCAAGAGCTCTCTCAGCCCCACCTACCTCACAGGGTGTCTGTTGTGGGGAGGAGAAAGGAAAGGAGTTTGTAAGCTGCTCTGAGACACCTTTGGGTAGTGAAGGGTGGGGTATACATCCAATCTCTTCTCTTCTTCTTCTTCTACTTCCCCTCCACACAATTCATCGCGTGGACCCATGCCTCCAGTCCCATCTTGACACGGGTTTACCACTTTGATGGGAATTACGCTGACATGCCCCAACAGATACCAAGAGCCTCCTGCCCTCCCCAACCACCACCTTCACACCAACCAGGTTTTGGTTTCCACTTACTGATCAGGATAGCAATTCCGACAAAACAGAGGATGCCAGCACAGATCATGCCGCTGACACGAAGTGAATGATAGTCTGGGGAAGGAAACAGAAGGTGTTTGGCATTGCCTAGGATACCGCCCTTCTCCACCCCGGCAGTGTTTACCACTCTCAAAACCTCTTTCCCACATCATTCATCATCCAGCTAGTCCAGTGGTTTTCAGCCCACGGATTGGGCCCCTCAGGCAGGTTACAAGATCCACATGTTCAATCACATGTCCTTAGAGAGCCACTAATATAATTTTTCGATGTCTTATGGAAGCGCTTGCTGCTATTTCACATGCACAGAACAAGCCACACATCCTGCCTGCCTCCCTCGATTCATACACTGAGAGGAGTAGCAGGATGGTGGGGGGAAGACTCCTCCATGGTCCTGACCCATGGTTTCCTCCTTGCCAAGGATCATTTCGTGGGGAAAGAGGTGCAGGAGCTCATTAACATAACTTGTTTGCATATGCCACACCCCCTGACATCACTGGAAGTGTGTCAGAAGGCAACACCCACCGCTCAGGCTCCACTGGACTCTTTTGGATTGCTAGCTATGGGGGGGGGGAATGTGCAGATCTGCCCTTGCAGAGGAGGGAGAGCTTGTACCTGAATAAAACTTGGTCTTAAAGGTGCCACTGGACTGTTTTGGACTCGGGGGCTGGGGGGGAGCTCTGCAACTTACCTGGCTGCTTCTTGCTCTGACTGAGGGCTGCTGGGAGCAGGGGGTGGGGCTTGTTGCATGTGCCCACCCCCTGGGCTCTTTACTGCCGGAGCTCCGCTCTTGTGCACTCCTGCAGGAAATGACCCCTGCTCCTTGCTATAATACACCACTTGGTGCTTATCTATTCTGTCCCCAATGGTCTTGGTGTGCTATTCATAGTCTTGGCAATGTCAGAAGAACTTTGGATCCCTTTCTACCTGTCACATGGCTCTGACTTCACACAACTTCCTGTCATGTGCTTGCAGCTTAGTAGGTTCCAGTTCTGGAGAGACTGAAAACCAGTGAGTTAGTCCAAGTGGCGGCTGGAAACTGGGTGGCACATAAGGAGGTACAGGAGAACGTCTATTCAGAGGAAGGATAATGAGGGGCACCTAAGACTGTAGATCTCCTTCCATGGTGTAGCACTATCTATTACACAAACACACACAGTTTCTTCCACTTAGAAACAGAGGACTGCTACCTTAGCCACACAATACTGGCAAGAAGGACCTGCACTTACCATAATAGAAAGGACTGTCCTTATCTGTGGAAAGGAGAAGAGGGGAAAGTTAATGACCTACTGTTAGGATTCTAGAAAGTCAAGGGGGCTGAGGGACACCAGGATTTCTAGCTTTGCAGCTGACTGCAAGTATATTAACAGTCACTTTACACATTCATCTTTGCACTGTGGTTAGTTGATCCTTTCAGACTTTACGTCCACATAGGGATGCCAGCCTCCAGGTGGAACCTGGGTTGCCAAGTCCATCTTCCACCCCCAGCGGGGGACTTTGGGGGCGTTCCTGGAGGGGGCGGGGCATCCCCTTTTTTCTGGCATTTCCCTGCAAGCCTGATCTCAAGCAGAGGTCGGGCTTGGGAGGAAACACGGGTTCCACACACTTAAAGGGAGAGAGAGGGGTGGCTGTGGGTGTTGGGGGCGGGGCTTCCCCCGCTGGCCATCTGGCCGGCGGCGGGTAGAGCCCCCCCAAAAAACGGGGGACCCCTGGCAAACCGGGGGGGTTGGCAACCCTAAACCTGGAGATCCCCTGGAGTTGCAGCTCATCTCCAGACTACATAGATCAGTTCCCCTGCAGAAAATGGCTGCGTTGGAGGGTGGCCTCTATGGCACTGTGCCCTACTGAGGTCCCTGCCCTCCCCAGGCTCCATCCCCAAATCTCCAGGAGATTCCTGATATGGATCTGGCAACCCTATAGAAGCATAGAGTTGGAAGGGGCCATAGAGGCATTCTAGCCCAACCCCCTGCTAAATGCAGGATCAGCCTAGAGCATCCCTCACAAGTGTTCGTCCCGCCACTGCTTGAAGACTGCCAGCAAGGAGGAGCTCACAGCCTCCCTAGGCAGCTGAATCCACTTACTGTAAAAAAATCTTTTTTTAATATGCAGCTGGTACCTTTCCACCTGTAATTTAAACCCATTATTGCGAGTCCTTTCCTCTGCTGCCAACAGAAACAGCCCCCTGCCATCCTCTAAGTGACAGCCCTTCAAATACTTAAAGAGAGCAGTCATGTTCCCCCCCCCAACCTCCTCTTCCCCAGACTGAACATTCCCAAGTCCCTCCACCTTTCCTCGTAGGACTTTGGCTCCAGGTCCCTGATCATCCACATCGCTCCCTTCTCCACCCACACCATTCTGTCCACATCCTTTTTGAAGTGAGGCCTCCAGAACTTCAAGCCACCATGACGGACTCATGGACATTGTACGTAAAGTCTAATTTGGCCCTAACTGAAGGAGGTCTGTAATTAGCCTTTGCCATTTGTTCCTTATTCATTTATTTCAGAAATGCTAATAGAACAGAGACTGTAAAAAAAAACCCCGTAAAAAGTAGCTTGATTTACATTACAAGGATAATATATTTTAATATAGTGCTGCTAGTGTTCTGACCAGGGCTCTTTTTTAGAAAAAGTCCAGCAGGAACTCATTAGCATAATAGGCCACACCCAACAGCAGAAACTCATTAG